ATATATATATATATATATATATATATATATATATATATTCTAAAATGTAGTGTCACATGATCCTTCTGAAATCATACTAATATGCTGGTTTGCTGCTTAGAAAACATGTCTTATTACCAATGTTATAAAACAGTTGTGCTGCTTAATATTTTTGTGGCAACTGTGATAATTTTTTTCAAGGTTCTTTGATGAATAGAAAGTTCAGAAGAATAACATTTACTCAGAATTTAATTCTTTTGTAGCAAATATCTTTACTGTAACTTTTTTTATTTTTATTTTGATGTGTTCTTGCTGAATGAAAGTACTAATTTCTTTTTAAAAAAAAATCTCACTGACCTCAAACTTTTGAATGGTGTATTTTTAGCAGCAGTGTTTTAATTGGCATTCTGCACAACCCTGGAAAACCCTCCCAGAGGAGTTGCGCCTTTAAATTCAGGATTGAAAACAGCCTAATTATACAGTAGTTTAGTTAGCCCATTGACTAGTCGGATTTAGAAACATGTAGTTTTGCGTATCTTTAATTACATGGCCTAAAGCACAGAAGTGACACCTAATGGGTTGTGCAAGCATGCACATACTTGTTTTGTATTGAGTGTGAGTGAAATGCAAAAAAACTCAAATGTGTGTGTCTCACTGCTCTGTGGCTGCTCTGCAGATGGGTCAGACTCCAGGGATAAACCCAAACTTTACCGACTACAGCACAGCCTCACTGAGGTTGGATCTGACCGGAGTGAAGAAGGAAACATTCAGGTAAGGAAAATGCTTAAATGACCATTTCTCCGCAGCAGTGTAGAACAATAAAAGGTGAAAAACACATTTAGAAAAGCGTCCAACACATGCCTGATTTTTTTTCTGCACCGCAGCTGTTTGGGCCTGGGATTCTGCCTCACCACTGTGAACTGATGCATGAGGACGGGCTGGTGACTGTGACCCCTGTCAGTTTGGATGCTGAGACATTCGTGGATGGACAGCGGATCTCTGACACTACGGTTCTGCGCAGCGGGGTGACCGTCCAGTTCGGAGCCACTCACGTCTTCAAATTCGTAGACCCCATCAATGACCACAGCATGTCCAAGAGAGACCCAGGGCCCATGATGAAGGGCAGACACAAATCAGGGTGAGACATTTTTTCTTTAAGAGCAGCCACATAGAGCTGAAAAGCAAATATAACCTGATAAGAATCACATTGAGTGTGTCCAGAAAGATTTGAACTAATACAATTGTCAGTAGGCGACTACTGATCCTTTATTGACCAGCTGTGGCAGTGCAGCACAAGGAACCATCTGTTGTACTGTGTAACATTAGACGCAGTGATGGGGAAGCTTCTTTGAAACTATAGCTTGCCAAGCTACTCTTTAAAAAAAGTGATTAGCTATACTTCAAGCCACTAACAAAAAGTAGCTAACTACATTTGAAGATATTTTTTTGAGGATCTTTCCTAGGATGACAGCATGAGAATGAACAGGTAAATTGATTCTAAATGCAACTAATACAACTAGAAAAACACTTCAGTTTCTATTTCTGAGTCGAAAAAACGTGTCAAACAGCAGTTCTAAAGTGTTTTTGAAAAATCACATACCCTGCCTTTAACTACAAAAATAATGTATAAAACACCTCCGAATTCTGCAGGTTAACAGGTGAATCATTCTTTTGAATATTTTCATTCACATGAACAATGATCTGATTCACATAAATTAATCTGACTTCTCGATCCTACATGAAGACCGTTTAGAGCCTGTTTATTGCGTCATACTTTTTTCAGGATTCTTTAATGAATAGAAAGTTCAAAAGAACTGCATTTATTTGAAATGGAAATCTTTACTGTCACTTTTGAACAATGTAATGTGTCCTTGCAACACTTTAGGGACCAATTCTCACTATTAACTAGTTGCTTATTAGCATGCATATTACTAGCATATTGGCTGTACTTATAAAGCACACATTTAATGCCTTATTCTGCATGACCATATTATAGATCTCTTAATCCTACCCCATACCTAAACTTAACAACTGCCTTACTATTAATAAGCAGCAAATTAGGAGTTTATTGAGGCAAAAAGTCATAGTTAATAGTTAGTTAATAGTCAGTTTGGCCCATTGGCCAATTGGCCCCCAATCTAAAGTGTGACCTAAAAGTTATAATTTTAAATTGTTTTAAAAGTTGAAAAAAACAACAACTAACTTACCACAAACTTTTGAACAGTACTGTAAAAACATTATCAATTGTTTTAATTTAGGTTTTTAGAGCTCTAGAGACTTGCCGGTTCTTTACAGACAGTTTACACGCATCAAAATATGATGAAATGTGGGTGAAGATAGAAGTCCAAAAGGTACAGTAACAAAAACAGACAATTAAATTCTAAGAGTTGGAGTGAAGCTGGAAAGTGGTCATGAAAAGCTAAATAATGCCTCTTTTTTTTCATGTAAGAAAGGTTGAATAAGTTGATGTCAAAATGCTTCAAAAGTGGAAAAATTTGGCACAGTTGCTCATGAGATGTTTTGTGCTTGTGGAGCCATTAGATGGCAGTCTTTTGATATCTAAGTGTCTCATTTTATGGTGTGTGTATCTGTAACTGCTGTCTCTCTGAACAACCAGTGCGAATTGTGTTATGGGATGCTCTGCTGCCATGACAACAGGAGTTTCACAGGTTTTGCACTTGGATTTTCTCTGCAGTGACTGTCCTGTCAGATTTCTAGAGTTAAATGCAGCCTTTACTGTGAGAACTGTTGGAAAAGAGTAGGGATGCACGATATTGGATTTTTGCCGATATCCGATATGCCGATATTTTTCAACTCATTTTGGCCGATAGCCGATGCCGATACCGATATATTTCCTTTTGTTTGTAAACAACACCAAGTGTAGCATATTATTTTTAATTTGGTTTTTTTGGGTTTTTTTTTTACAAGAACTTATTTTTTAAGTTCTTAACAAGAACTTATTTGTTAGAATTAAATAAACAATAATGAAGTTATTTTATAATGACAGTACATTGAAGCTTTGAAAATAATTATAAATAAACTGTATATCAATCGCTGCATTTTTTTTCAGAAAGATGCAGTAGTAATCTTAACCTTATCGGCAAGACACATCGGCATATTTTTTCATATCGGGCCGATGCCGATATGTACATTTAAAGCCATTATCGGCCGATTCGGATATCTGTCCGATAATATCGTGCATCCCTAGAAAAGAGGCTGGAAGAGTGACAGGGAGAGGGTGAGCGGAAGGTTATGTCGGCCACAGGCGCAGAGAGACTCTATAATCTGATCAGCGTGGGTTGGAGAGGGGTGTGTCCCTGTGTCATTTCAGAGAGAAACGCTGTGTTTGAGACAGGGCGGAGTGTAGTGACGCTCCCACCAACACACACTCTTCGCCGTACTCCACTGTTAAACATATCAGACAGGAGCAAGAGGAGTGTAGAGCTGTCCTGGTGAGTTTATCCACATTTTACACATGTTTCATGGAGCCTAAACACTCCGCTTGAGTGATCAGGTGACCATGAAGATTTGTTGTTTTTGTTCGTTACCAACAAACTTTGATTTAGCTTGCTAAATGTTTATATTTTTAACAGTACTATGTTTATTTAATCATAAAATGCTTAAAAAACATTTGTTCTTGTAACTCTTAAATATATAGGGTTGTTCTAAAACTTCCTTTATTTTTGATTCGTTCTGTATTTGTGGTTAGTTGACATGGACTTTTCATACTTTTATCTAAAAATGTAATTCACTATATGATATTTTATATATTATGTTACATATGTTTTTGAGGAAACGGTATATTTCTTTCAGGATTCTTTTATGAATAGAAAGTTCAAAAGAACAGCAAAATATTTTATAAAATTTTGTAAAATTTTAAATATCTTTACTGTCAATTTTGATCAATTAAGTGCATTCTTGCTAAATAAAAGTATACATTTTTAGCATGGGGAAAACATTAGCATAGCCTCAGGATATGGGGGAAAAAATGAGACGCTACATTGATTGCGTTTATTTTAAGGCGTTGAACAGTCAACATTAAATTTTTCTCAGACCTCTTCGTTAGTAATAGTTTATTCTTAGATTATGACTCTGTTAGAACATGTGAGCTTTCCCCCCATGAAGATTCATTATAAAGCTCTCCCAGAGTTTTCTTGTGTTTTTTTTAATGCAACTTTACAAAGTAATGTTATCTGAGATGTTTGTGTGAGCTTTTATCCCATGCACATCCTATTGGCATGCATGTGAATGTGCAGTAATTAAGTCTGCGTTCATTTCAGGCCATTCGTCTGTAATGTCTAGGTTCAATTAGGTTCATTTCCTGCATTAATTTGATGTGAAAACATGCCGTCTCTTAGCGAATGTGTTCGTGGCGGTAAGCAGAATCTCTAATCTGATGTCCTGATGTTCTGCTGGATTACAGCACTGCTCATTCCAGGACATGGAAGCTTGCTGATGGCAAGGATCAGACAAGGACTCAGTCCTTGTAATATCTGATTTTTCTGATTTGTGTTATGTGAAAACATAAACATAAATGCAATGAAATGTTCTATATACACTACCTTAGAAAAAAAAAAAGGTTCTTGGGAGGACATGTTTGACGTTAAGAAATTAAGTTGTTTATGGTTGCCAATGTGGTATCACAATAAAGGCTGTTTTTTTTGTGGCTCAGTCAAGTCAGAACAATGCATTTTATAATATTACTTGTACTGTTTGGAGTTACATAACATGAAGCTGTTTTTGCACTGATGACAGGCTTAATTTATTATCAGTATAATCATATATTTTGGTTTATGTCCATCAAGTTCCCAAAAAAAGTACTGTACTTTTCATTTGTAAAGTATTTGATTCACTGGATTATCCAAAATGGGCATTACCACATGGTTATTTAATATGTAAACCGTTTCTAGCTGGAAATGTCATGAATGTCATGGAAATGTTTGGACGTACTGCCCATTCCCAAGCTGCAGTTTAGATGTTACCTGGATATATTATGTCTCAACTGAATGCAAAGAGCTGGAAACAGCTGTTTGACAGCTGTTGAACACGGTAGCGGTTTGCTGCCTTGTCATTTACGGTTATTTTTTCGTTGGTATAATTGTGTTCAAACACTGTGCGGGTGTATCTTTAGGCTGTGGGGTTCTACTCATTCATTTAGGCTGGTAAGAATGTCTGTGTGTTACTGATTGTCTTTAGAGCTCATACACACACTAGTATCCGGGTGTTCGTGAGGCTGTGGGCTGCTGCTTTTGTTTGACTTTCCATTCAGCTCAGGTTTTATGTAGTTGTGTGTTGTAGAGTGTATGCAGGTGGTTATATTGTGTGTGTCTGTTTGTTTGGCCACAGATACCGTTTACTTCCATGTCATCTGCTGAAATGATTAAACCCCCCCCTCCCCTTTTTGTGTTTCTCATAAGTGTCCCAGAAACGACCTTTGACCTTCACGGGGACTTTCATAGTGGCTCTGCTCTCCCTACAAGCAAGGTATCACATCGGCCTGTTTCTTTTGGATCTTTGTGCATGTGTTTGTGTGTGGTGTGACGGATCTCTAATGGGATATTTGGTGGTTTCAGAGCTCAGGGAAGCTGGTGATGGAGCGTTCAGGAAACAGTGAAAGAGGCTTGGTGAAGCCCATGATTAGAGGAGAACAACAGGACTTTAACAAACATGATGGAAGGTAAGAACTTAGCTGACTGTGTGCCTAATTTTCATTTTTTTTTGTCTGTAAAATTTAAAATTCTGACTTTCACTTTGTGAGATTTGAGGCCATCAATCATTTTAAATATTTAATCACAATTTGTTCCAAATATTTCTGAAAGAAAACAAGATAAGATATATGTGTATTTATTCAGTTTGATAAATGATTTTTGTTAAGTGTCTCTACCGTTTCATTTCGTCCTGTCAGCCTTTAGTGTCCTGATCAGTTTTTCAGAATTACGCAAAACTGAATGAAACAGTTATATTGTCAGATGTGTGTGTTTATATATATATATATATATACACACACACATACAGTATAAATATTTTTGGCTAATTTGTTCATTCTTTTAGTTAGAAATAAGAATGCAGTACTGTCAGATTAACACATTTTACCTCATTTAATTTCACAACACATTTAATTATTAATTATGTATTTTTCTAAGAATGATTTGCAGAAAATAAAAGCATCATGTTGGGTTTTGTTCCAGTGTTCCAAAAGAAGAGGAAATAATC